GGAGATGGGTGAAAAGTCTACTAAGACTCGTTTTGTTTTCTTCTTCTTCTGTTGTTATGTTGCACATTAGCAGCATATTAGTACACTGCTGCCTCTCATTGGTTTATTAATGTCATTGGTTCCTTTGTGGCTACTTGAATATTTTAAGTAAGTGTCACTCAAAACAGTAAGTAAATTGTTTTATTTGCCTTGAAAGTAGCTGTAACTTAATAAAACCTAGTAAGTATAACAACTAAGTAAAGATTACTAATTAAATCTAAGTAAGGTAAACTATTGGATTTTACAGTGAATACACTTCATGTGAATGTTTCTTCAGCGGGTTTGGTGGGGGAGAAAAAGAAAAAGAATCACCCACATGTGCTGCAATCTGTGTGTCAGAGTGATGATGTATTGTTTTCTGTAAAGCTGTTTTATACTTTGCCTCATTGATTCTGTTATTGAACTAAACTGAATCAACACTGAACTGAACTGAGCTGAATAATGACACTATTTTCTTTATAGAGCCGCTTTACAACTGAAACTGAATTTGCTTCATAACTGAAGAATTGTTCAGTATTAAAAGGCATAGTTCACCCTATATTGAAAATGTTGTCATCATTACTCACCCTGATGTTGTTCCAAACCAGTTTGAATTTCTTTATTCTGTTGAACACAAAAGAAGACATCTGAAAGAATGCTGGTAACCAAACAGATGCTGGTCCCCATTGACTTACATAGTATTTGTTTTTCTTAGTATGGAAGTCAATGGCTAGCAGCATCTGTTTGGTTATCAACATCTTTTGTGTTCAACATTTGTTCATTAGGATGGTTATAGATCAGCCAATTAATTTAAAAGATCCGAACCGGATGATCGATTTCTTCCAAGGAGAGCAAAGCCAGATGTTAAAGGGGTCATATGATGCGATTTCAAGTTTTCCTTTCTCTTTGGAGTGTTACAAGCTGATTGTGCATAGATAAGATCCCTGAAGTTGCAAAGACTAAAGTCTCAAAACCAAAGAGATATTCTTTATCAAAGTTAAGACTCTTGATCTTTAAAAAAGCATCATATGACCCCTTTAAGACTTTCAGTGCATAAATACATTATTTATGGATTCAATATAAATCCAATATGGATTCAAAAGACTTAAGTCATGTGGGCTTCTTCTATGTGTTATGATGTTATGCGTCTACTTTTGTGGTGCTTTTTCATCATTGTAATTACATGGAAAAGAGTGACTAGTGCATTATTTGAAAACAATTATTCAGAAATGTTACTTTTATTATTTAAAATATTTGCTTTTGTGGAGTTCACAGATAAAAGAAATTCAGACGGTTATGAAACTGCTTGAGACTGAGTAAATAATGACAGAATTTAAAAAAAATACTAGGCAGTATAGGGATTTTACTACACATAAGCAGTACTGCAGTATTTCATTCCGAACATACTATACAGACACCTGAAATGATTATACTGTCTTCTTCATGCTTTTTCATCTAATTAGCACTAGTTGTTCAGTTGTACATGATGGAGATACAGCGGGTGTTGTTCATGGGTCGTGAGCAGCACTTTCACCTGCTCTATTGTTCACACTTCAGGATGTAGATATTCCCTCCACGTGCTGCTGGCTGTCATGGAGAATAAACAGTTATGGAGCAACAATAACAAAGCTGCCCATCGGTTTGACCAGTCAAAAAGCTGATGGAATCCATTTAGATAAAGATCAGATCTAATTAACCATGTACAACAACAGCTGGTCTTAAATGTGTCATTAACGTACAGTGAGTTCAAGCTTACTGAATACATTCAACAATGATTGATTTGCTTTGAAAGACACTCTTTTTGCAAAACTTGTTCATTCCTAACGATATGCATTATAATGCATGTTTTAAAAACCATAGTCACCATCACCATAATCATTAATGCCTTTCAATGTTGTCTTTTTATAATAACTTTATATTGTCTATTTAAAGCAAGTAAACTAAAGTAATCTTTGACTAACAAAATGTTTTTAGTTTTACCTTAGGTGATTCATTTAATAACTAATTAGTGGATTTTTAGCTAATTGCCCTGCATTAAGTAACATTTTGGCTTATGTATAAGGAAAATGTATTGATTTATTATGGTCTTTATAATAAACTTTTTATGTTGTATGAATGTAAAAATAAATATTATTAATTAATATTAAACCAATTTAAGGTTTGAAATAAAGAATAAATATAATTTAAGAAGAAAAAAATGCAATCTGCCGTAACAAATTTGTAAATTTTTTTTTTTTTTTTTTTGAAAGTTGGTCCATTTTTTTTCTCAGTGTATAGACACTACTCACATTTTCTTCTTATTTATTTTTTTAATTACTTATTTTTAAAATTCTGACCTTTCAACATGGTGAACCTATGAGCTTTATCTTGTGTTGTTGTGTGATATTAATCTATATAACAATTTCAAAATAATGAAATCATTCAGATCACTACTACAGTGCTGTTAGTGATAATGTATAGCACTCAACTGATCATCATCTGTGTCTTTACAGCAGAAGAGGAAGCAGAGCAAGAGAGATGTGGATTCACTCAGTCTGTGCAGCTTGGACATCAATGTGAGTTACACAAATAGACCTACAGTACCCACAATGCACTGCACTATGATAAAAACATGATCCATCATATGTGCTGCAGGGATGACATGTTTTTGTAGGCCAAATCCCAGAAACAAGTTTGTGTTCTAGCACTTCTGGTTTCATTGTTCTGAAGTCAAGGTTTTTTGTTTTTTGTTCACAGAACCTTTTGTTGTTCACAGAGCTTATTTTCTGTAGTAATCCAAAAGCCAATGGAAGAATGGCCTACAAAAATACATCACTCTATAGACCCTTGGTACCTGGAATTACTGACAATAATTATTAAAAAAAAGGCATGAAAAGGGGGTTAAAGGCATGTAATTGAAAGGTATTAATAGAAGTGTATGATTGCATGTTTTTGCTTTTGTGGCCACTGTGAGTTGTGACTGCAGAGCTCCTGCTGAATGTCACTCTCAGTCTTCTGACTCGAAAAGACAGCACACATCTCTCTGAAAACAGCTGTTTGAGGAGTGTTGGGATGTGCTTATACACACACAGTGTTGGGGAGTAACTAGTTACATGTAACGGTGTTACGTAATTCACAAGAGCTCAAGTGATATACACTCTTAGATATAAAGCATTCAAAAGGGCCTTTCCGCAGTGATGCCAGAGAAGAATTTTGGTTTGGCTTTCAGAACCTTTCAATAATCTAAAGTTTAGCAAATGCATTTTCATCGCACGTTTGCTTTTGTTAACACTGTTAGTTAGGTTAAGGGTAGGGTCTAGTGTAGGTGGTATGTCATTTCCAAATGTGATAGAGCATTAAACTTTTAGTGCCAGTCACTTGACAACAACAGATGTAATGAAACGTTTCCAGATTCATGTTCATCTTGTTCATTTCAGATAAAACTGTACTTCACTTAAGCACCACTCTCTGGACATCTCACATTGAAAGTGTCAAGAAGCAACGATATAATATAATTTTGGCAGAAATGTCACCACAGGCTTATAAAGCATATCTACACTAACAATACATCCTAAAAACTTTTTAAAGATCATGTTTCTTTGATCTCCATTTGTCAAAACATCATAATTTTGATTAATACCAGAAGCAAATGTTCACATTCATAATTCTAGTGATGCATCCTCTTTTCTGTCTGATTTTTTACGATGTAGCGTCTGTCTGTTTGATTGATTTCAAAGCTGGAGGCTTTGAGGTTTCTGCAGAGGTCAAAGCACTGTATGAATGTAATAACTGTTATTCCAGCTGAATTGGACATAATTGCAGCTCTCTTGTGCTTTTGTAGTTGAAGGGGTCTGATGGGTTTATATCTGCAGTCATCAGAGAGACAACCCACAATGCAATGCTTTGAGAGCTGATGCCAGGTGAACAGCTCCAGTAATGAGAAATGAGCTTGAGCTTAAGTGTATCGCCAGCGAGTCCAAACACTCCTGGAATCTGCTTTGAGGCATGTTTGCTTTTTCAAGCACCGAAGCATGAGCTCTGAACAAAAGGAGCTGGTTTTCAGTGCGGTAGACTGTCTTGACAGCTCTGAGTGGGCTATTCTGGGAAGGTGGGTTTGTCACGGATGTGTCGTGATGTCCGTGTGGGGAATTCTGACACATGTTTGGGTGCACCTCTCTTACCCGCGTATACATGTGACTCAAGCCTTAAAATCAGTAATATTTCTGCTGGACAATTCATCACTCCAATCACTGACAGTAGTCACTTTTTGGGTCTGGCCCACATATTAAAGCTTGGGAAGTCAAAGGAAGTTAAAACAAAAGGTTTGGCAGTCTTATTATTAAAAACTAAAATAATTTAATAAAAAATCATTTCATTGATTTCTTGAAAGAAAATAATAATTAACTGAAATAGAACTTATTACTTAAAATGTAAAAATTATTTATTTCAGCTAGTTGCCAAGGCAGCATTTCTCATTTTCTTCTAGTGTACTTTGAAGTACTAAAATAACAAACTAAATAAACTAAAACTAAAATTTAATAAAAAATATACGGACATATTTAAAAAAAAATTATAATAAAAATGACAAAAACACACAACACAACAACAACTTTTAACTAAGATTGAAAAGAACAGAAAATATAAAAATAAAATCTATATAATACTAACAAAAACTGTAATAGTACATCAGTGATACTAAAATAAGAGAACAGGGAGCATTTCAACACTTTTTGCTTTAGCATCTGAAATGTCTTTGAAACTTGTATAAATTAACCACCACTTTAAAGGGGTCATATGATGCGATTAAAATTGTTCCTTTCTCTTTGGAGTGTTACAAGTTCTTGGTGCATAAAGAATATCTGTAAAGTTACAAAGACTAAAGTCTCAAATCCAAAGAGATATTCTTTATAAAAGTTAAGAGTCAGCCACGCCCCCCTAAAACACCTCGTTCTAACACGTCCCCACATATCTACGTCACTATGTGGGAAGATTTGCATAACGCCGCCCAAATGTTCACGCAAAGAAAGAAGGCGTAACTTTTATTCTCGCTGTAGTATTGTTGTTGCTGCCGCCATGTCGTGAAGGCGCTGTGTG